ATATATACACACATATGTGTATATATGTATATATACACACATATGTGTATATATGTATATATACACACATATATGTGTATATATATGTGTGTGTGTGTGTGTATATATATATATATAAAAACTCTGTGGGGGTTCTCTTACCTTAAATTTATCATTTGCCTATGAAGCCCAGTATGCATGTAGGAGGGGCTTATGAGATTATGCCTTATCTCTGACAATGGACCTGATCTCTTAGAAATGGCTCATTAAAGGAAAGTGTTGTGGGAAATAGGACAGGCTGAGGTTCCAAGTTGTAATGGGAGTAAGCATTTCCTTTAAAGTGCCCTACCCTAAATGGGGGTAAATATTAACAGTGGAGAATAGAATTAGTTGTTTAGTGAGAATATTTGAATTATAAGGTACCTTTATGTCTCCATATCTCCTTGTCCTGATGGAAAACCAAGGTTCAAAGAAGGGAAGGGACCTGAGAAAACTAGTGGCAAAGACAGGACTAGAAGACCCAATTTTCTTGACTTCTCATCCAATAAGAAGTTTCTTTTTCTTTCTTTTTTTTTTTTTTTACTGTAATAAACATAACATAAAAATTTTAAGTATACAGTTAAGTAGTATTAAGTATATTCGTGTTTTATGAAACATCTGAGATTTTATGCCTACTAAACAACAACTCCCCTTTTCCAAAAGTCTTCCAACGGCCCCTGGTTACCACCATTCTACTTTCTGTATCTATGAATTTGACTATTTGAGATACTTCATATAAGTGAGATCATATAGTATGGGTCTTTGTGACTGGCTTATGTCACTTTGCATAGTATCCTCAAAGTTCATTCCCTATGCAGCATGTGATAGCATTTCTTTCCTTTTTATGGCTGAATTATATATGTATATACCACATTTCATTTATTCATTCATCCATCAGTGGCCATTTGAGTTGCTTCCACCTCTTGGCTATTATCCATAGTGCTGCTATGAACATGGGTTTGCAGATATCTTTGAGACTTTGTTTTCAGTTCCTTGTATATGTACCCAGAAGTGGGATTCCTGGATCATGTAGTTCTATTTTTAATATTTTGAGGAACTGCCTTGATGTTTTTCTTATTGGTTGAACCATCTTACAACTCAGTGCACAAGGGTTCCAAATTCTTCATATCCTCACCAACACTTATTTTTCTCTTTTTTGATAGTAGTCATCCTAATGGGGGTGAGCATTTATTTACTGATTACTGATGTTAAGCGTTGTTTCATATGTTTCTTGGCCACTTCCTTATCACCTCTGGAGAAATGTCTATTCAAGTCCTTTGACCATTTTTTAATCAGGTTACTTGATGTTTTTGGTGCTGAATTGTAGGAGTCATTTATATATTCTGAATATTAATCCATTTTAAGATACATGATTTGCAAAGATTTTTCTCCCATTCTATAGATGTACCATTTGTCTATTTTTGCTTTTGTTCACTGCTTTTGGTGTTATAGTCAATAAATCATTGCCAAGTCTAGTGTCCAGCTTTTCCTCCATGTTTTCTTCTAAGAGTTTTATAGTCTTAGTCTTACATTTAGGTCTTTAATCCATTTGAGTTAATTTTTGAATATGGGATAAGCCCCAGCTTCATTCTTTGGCATATGCATATCTGTTTGGTTATCCCAGTGCTGTTTGTTGAAGAGAATGTTCTTCCCCCATTGAATGGTCTTAGCACTCTTGTCAAAAAATCATTTGACCATTTATGTGGAGGTTTATTTTTGGACTCTCTGTTCTATTTCGCTGGTCTATTTGTCTTTATGCCAGTACCAAGCTGTTTCAATTACTGTATCTTTGTAACTGGGGAGTGTGAGTTCTCCAATTTTGTTCTTCAAAATTGTTTTGGCTAGTCAGTGTTTCATGAGATTGTATATGAATTTTAAGATGATTTTTTTCTATTTCCTAAGAAAAACCATTGGAATTTTGATAGAGATTATGTTGAATCTGTAGATTACTTTGGGTAGTATGGACATCTTAAGCATCCACTGATCTTTAACATAATGTGTTAGTCTTGTGTTCACTTTTAGATTTTCATATTGTGGTTGATTCAGTATATTTATTTCAATAATAATGTTTCAGATATTTCAGTGGCATAGAAAACTATAGAGAATTATTTGTTTTTTCAACCAATATTTTATTGCAGACTCTGTGCTTATACTATCAAGATTTAAAAGATGTTGAGGTTTTGTCATATTTGTCTCGTATTTCCTTTCAAAAGTACTATTGCAGGAACATTATATCATTATCATAAAATATAAGAAAAAAATGCTCTACTAACACATCAACCTATTTTCAGTTTCCTTTTCAGTTCTTTACTATAAGTATACCACATTTTTCCAGTAGTAATCCTAACTTAGATTCTGACATGTTGTAATCTGTTTCTTGCTTATAAGCATTTTTTTCATACTGCAATATGTTCTTTGTAGTTATTCTGTTGATGAAACATCCTTTTGCCAACCAAGTATAAGAAACCCTTAATATTGGCGCTGCCATTTACTAGCTTTGTGATCTTAAGAAAGTTTCCTGAGTTCACAGAAACTAATTGGAATAAAAAGTAAACTCATAATTATCTTAAAATGAATATTATAATTACCCATACCACAAGACTGTTATAAGGATTAAATTTATATTAAAATGTCTAGGACTCAGTAGGTCCTTAATAAGTGCTAGTTTCCTTCCCTTTCCTTTTTCCAAAGATCTAGTTTTTAATCCTGTTCTTCCAGGGGTTACCCTCAGAGACTCAGAACTTACTCTTATTCCTCCAGACCAAGAAAGACCATCCATACACCTGGAGAATTGAACTGGCAAAAACAGAAAAATACTGGGATGGCTGGTTCCGAGGCTTATCCAATCTCTTTCTTAGTTGTCCCATTCCTAAATTGCTGCTCTTGGCTGGTAAGTATATATGTGCATGTATTAGTGCAGGCTGATGTAACAAAATACCATAGGCTGGGTGGCTTAAACAACAGAAATTTATTTTCTCACAGCTCTGGAGGCTGGGTCCAGCGTGGTCAGGTTGTGGTGAGGGCTCTCTTCCTGGCTTGCCTTCTCTCTGCGCCCTAATATGGCCAAGAAAGAGTGAACCTGAGCTCTCTGGTGTCTCTTCTTTTAAGGACATTAATTAAGGATATTTATCCTATGTCAGAGCTCTGCCCTCATGACCTTATTTTAAACTTTATTATGTCCTTACAGGCCCTAGTTCCAAATATAGTCACATTGGGAATTGGGGCTTCAACATGAGTTTTAGGGGGACATAGCTCAGTCCATAGCAGTGTTGTTATACAGTCATCCCAATATGACCTTGTTAAAAATTCTCACCCAGTGAGTAGTGACTTCCAGAGTAGAGTACCTTCATCATTCATCTATGCCTTTTCTCCTTCCCATACCCAATCTCTAAACCTAACTAAGCATAAGCATTCATCTAAGCATTAGGACGACCTAATTCTGGCCTGACCTTTCTACTTGGACAAGCCCAAGTCCTTCTTAGCCTAGAGCTATACAAAGTGGTATAAGGATATTCTGAGTATCACGACAATCAAAATAGTAAACCCTGTTTTCAGAACCAGTTTAAATTAACATAGTAATTATAGGGGAATCTCAACCCGAAAAGTTTTATCTGGTGGTGAGAATATGCTCTGGGAGTTAGGATTGATATAAACATGAATTGAGAATTTCATGTTTACAACTTTGTAACACTTTTTACTTAGTACTTGAAGAGCAAAATCTATTTCACAATGAATTCTCTTGTTTTCTAGGTGTTGATAGGTTGGATAAAGATCTGACCATTGGCCAGATGCAAGGTAAGTTATCAAGAAATTATGCCCCTGGACCTTTTTCTGAGGAAAGGGTGATAGGGCAATTAGCATTCTGAGATAGTGGTATAACAGAAAAAGCATGAGCTTTAGAGTCAGACCCAAGTTGGACATCCTCCTCTACTCCTGACCCGCTATATGATTATGGGCAAGTATTTCGCTTTTCTGAGCTTTAATTTGTTAAAAAATTCCATCCAAAAATGAAAATTATAATACTACTTATATCTCATTTATAAGAGTTAAAATGAGGCAATGTGTTTAAAAATTATAAAGTACTGTATAGGTGTATAATACTCTGAAAGGAGATAATTCTGACTACTGGTCAGCTTTTTTTGTTTGTTTGTTTGTTTGTTTTGTTTTCTGAGACGGAGTCTCACTCTGTTGCCCAGGGTGGAGTATAGTGGTGCAATCTTGGTTCACTGCAACCTCCACCTCCCAGGTTCAAGCAATTCTCCTGCCTTGGCCACCTGAGTAACTGGGATTACAGGCATGTGTCACCACACCAGCGGCTAATTTTTGTATTTTTAGTAGACATGGAGTTTCACCATTTTGGCCAGGCTGGTCTCAACTCCTGACCTCAAGTGATCTGCCTGCCTCAGATTCCCAAAGTGCTGGGATTGCAGGTGTCAGCCACCACACCTGGCCAGTATTTTTATTATTGTTAGAATTTTTAAGAAAGGGAAAGGCTCAAGATAATCCAAACATAAAAAGGTATATCTCTTTAGAAGACAGCAGGTAAGATGGTAAAAGCAAGGTCTCTGAAGTTCAGAGAACTAGGTTTTGAATACTGCTTTTCCAGTAATTTTTTGACTCTGGGCAAGTTATCTGACTTGCCTCAGCTTTAGTCTTCTTAATCTATAAAATGAAAAAACTGATGGCAGCCTCCAAAGGATTGTGAGGTATAATGAGTAGGAAAGTGACATGCTGAACACTATACAGATGCATGTGTGTTAGCTAGAGTGACAATGGAGGCAGCAGGTCCAATTCTGTGGGGGCTGTTGCTTTAGTACAGGTAAAAGACCCAGTGAAAGTGAAGTCAGTAGGTATGCAACTTTTGGGTTATGGGAAGAAGAGGTGCCAACTCCAAGACCCAAGTTTCAAGCTCAAACGGAATCTGTTCTAGACCTTTCTTCTCTACTTACTTTCCCTGGACAATTTCATGGCTTCCATTTATAACTTGATGACTCCCAAAGCTAAACATCCAACACACCCCTCTCTCCTGAGAGGTCTAGTCCTGTCCCATGTAGCAAACCTGCTGGAGAGTCTCATGAGACTCTCAAACTTCTTTTAGCCATCCTCAAGCTTTCCACAGCAAAAGGAGCTATATTCCCTCATAATAGTTGTTCAAAGGCTCTTGACTATAAAACTCTAGTCCCAGACCCTCATGCCTTTGCCTGCCTTTAACTACATTGTATCATGAGGTCTGAACAAGACCATGAGCTGGGACTGTGTGATTTTTTTTCATGGCACTGATGTTGGTAATTATGAGCTTAGACACTTATTTAAGTAGATGCTTATAAGTGTATAAGCCCATAATTACCAACATCAGTGCCATGAAGTTGAATCTAAGACACTTAAATTCAATTCAAGAAACTTTCCTAGGCACCTTCTCTGTGTAAGACGTGGTGCCTTACACACGTATGTATGATGCTGGGCAGACAGAAGAATCAGACATGGCCCCTGATACTGCCTGAAGGCAGTTGACATGGACTGGGATAGCATTTGAAATCACTGTTGATCACCAGCCTTGGAATCAGACAATCCTGAGTTTGAATCACTGTTAATATTTCTGCAGCATGAGTGAATTGCTAACTTCTTTAATTTCGAGTTTCTTCATCTATAAAATGGAGATAATGATATATCTCAGTACAGTTATATGAAGGTTAAATGGAAAAAAATGTGGGTAGTCTAACAAATGATGCCTTTCATTACATCCAGGAAGTAATCATGATTCTTTACGAGATGCCCTCTGTTTCCTCAGTATAGATTATATCAAGACCACATTCTGGTTTAATGAAAGCCTCCTATGAGTATAGAGAGTAAATGGCAGAACATCCCACAAAACAAAGGGAAATGGCTAAGTCTGCATAGATTCTAAACCACAGCTATCCCAGCTGTGTTCAAACCAGCTGACTTAATTATAGAATCCTGGAAAACTACCACCTAGTCATAGTACAACTTGGGTAATTTAGGCCCTTTGAACCTAAGGCTCCTAATCTGTACAATCTGAAATATTCCCACTTCATAGAATAATTGCAAGGATTACCCCTGAGCATGTTATTTTACGTGTACCTGGCTTAGTGTTGTTGGTATATGTGAATTCTCCCTGATTATACCTACTCTTCCAAAGAGGAATGACAAATGCATCCCTAGTCATTAGAGCTGATATAACAGAAAGAACAGGGAGATTGGAGTAGAACGTTTTGGATCTGGCTATTTGTTCTTCATCATTCATTCAGTAAAGACTTAATACCTGTGTTGGGTACTATTAAGGATATAGAGCAAGTAATAACACCATTATTCCCTGTTCTTTTTTTTTTTTTTTTTTGAGATGGAGTCTTGCTCTATTGCCAGGCTGGAGTGCAGTGGCACAATCTTGGCTCATTGCAACCTCCGTCTCCCAGGTTCCAGTGATTCTCCTGCCTCAGCCTCCCAAGTAACTGAGACTACAGGCGCACGGTACCACACCCAGCTAATTTTTTTGTATTTTTAGTAGAGACAAGGTTTCACCATATTAGCCAGGATGGTCTTGATCTCTTGACCTTGTGATCCACCCACGTTGTGCTGGGATCACTGGTGTAAATCACTGCACCCAGCCTCATCCCCTGTTCTTATGGAAATGACACACTCCTGGGGCAGCAAGCACCAGTGGCATGTAAAATGTAAACTTACTTGAAACTTACAAGAGGGCCATGTGCTGCTCTGTGTTTGGATCCAAATGCATTAACAACAGTACTTTAAGGAGCTAGAAGGGAGAGGTGACTAGGCTCGAGCACTCAGAGAGAGGCAGCTTACTGCAAGAGGAGGGGCACAGGCTGGACTTTACTAAATGGGATCATCTTATTCCTCTACTAATTAACCAAGTGGCCTTGGGAAAATCACTTCACTAATCATGACCTCATGATTGAGTTTCATCACCTCAAAAAAGAATTTTAGTATTTTTGTGCATAATTTTATAGGGTAGATTTTGAGAATCAACTTTAAAAATGGATAGAAGAATAAATACACTGAACACTTTTTGAATCCTGTGTAACTGGGGTAAGAACCACAGAATGTAATGACCAGAAGAACTTTCAAGCCCATTCCTTTATTTTATAAATAGAGAATCTGAAACTGAGAAAATCTGCTCTCTCTAACTATGGGGGCTCTGGGTCTCATATTCTTTAGTCTCCTTAGGGATCTTCTTTATCAGTCATCTCTGTTCATTTTTAATCATTGTCACATTAGGTATGAGCTTACAGTGTTCTGTAAGACAGTCTGAGAAAGTGCTTAGTACAAAGCCAGGTGCATGGTTTAGTGCTCAAATGGTAACTTATTATTGTAATAATAAATTTTGAGTCCTTAACATAGTTTACAAAATCCGTAATGGTGTGGCCCCTGCTTACCTCTCCAGCTTCATTGTTAACCACTCTTATAAGCATCATACCAAGCTGCTTTTATTCCTAGCTATTTCAAGCCTTCTTTCCTTCCTGGGTCTCTCTTGGATTGTGAAGCTCCCTTTCTTACGCTCTTACAGCCCCATATGTCCAGTTTTATCATAGGAATGACATACTGCATTAAAATGCTGGTTTTTGTGTTTTACTCCCCTACTGAACTGTAAATCCCCTGAGGACAAGAACTGTTTCTTCTACATGTCCCTGGCCCAAAGTAAATGTACACTAAATAGGACAGAAGGAAAAAGTAAAGGGAAATGATTGGCACAAGGTTACAATTACATGTATTACCATCCTCAGTAAAGACTTGATAATTGGGTCCAGAGTATTGAGGTGAGGTTGAAAATGGGGAGGTCCTGGGCTCCTGGAATAGCCTGTGAGGCTGCAGCAGTAGTAAAGAGAGGGCTCTTTTAGTCCCTGAAGTTGCCTTGCTTTGATTTCCCCCCCAGGGAAGTTCCAGATGCAGGTCCTACCCCAGTGTGGCCATGCGGTCCATGAGGATGCCCCTGACAAGGTGAGTCTGGTGCTCAATGACTGTAAAAAGACAACTGTGAGAATAACCCTGGATGCCACAGAAGACAAGTCCCTGAGTCTCAGCCTGCATTGCCTGCAACAGCTGCTGTGGAGCCTATGTAGATGCAATTGCACCAGCTCTCCAAACTCTCCCTGGCAGCTGCTTATGGCATTGGCTTTGCATGTATGTGCTGAGGAGCTACTGGTACTCTGCTGTTTCATCCCAGGGCCCTGTGGTTAAGATCTTAAGTTCTACTTCTCCAATACTCCCAAAAGCCAGATGAAAGAGGGATGATTAGGGTAGAAACGACTCCCTAAACCACAGAAATGGTTAAGGAATTAATACGGGCTTCTCCTATGGGAAAACACCATTTTGTAACTCTAAGGGGATAAATAAGCCCTTCATGTCATTCCTCTTGAGCTCTCTGGAGCTATCCCTGACAAGGATGGTGGGGAGGAGTCTCCTAGCTCTGCTAGGGAGGGTCTAGGTCCTTTTAATTTAAAGCCACTCAGACCTGTGGGTGGCATGAGGGCACCATAGTGCCTAACCATCTAACAGAAGCCCACAGCCCAAGGCTCAGCCCCGTCACTAACCTTCATACGGCTTGGAATATCTCTCCCTTTTCCAGGTAGCTGAAGCTGTTGCCACTTTCCTGATCCGGCACAGGTTTGCAGAACCCATCGGTGGATTCCAGTGGTAAGGCGGTCTAAGGGTTTAAGAACCCTAGCAGTGCTGGCCAACTCCAACAAACAGATACTTGCAGGACTATAAATATCCCTGACTTACCCCTGGCCTGGTTTGGTCACCATGCCTTTCTTCTTCTTCTTCTTCTTCCTCTTCTTCAACAAAGAGCCTGGCATGTCTGTTTCTACAAAACCATGGTTGGTTGCTTCTTTGTGCTGTGATCCAGTGGGTTGATGCTAAGGCTGTGATTAAATTGTGCCCACTGCGATTTGCATTTCTTCTTGAGGTGCCCCTTTGAGGAGGCTGGGATAGGAATCAGTACTTTTCCAGGCTCTTAGAGAAGTTTTATTTGCCCTCTCCTGCCCCGCTGCCAAGGAAAGCTGGGCAGGCCATGGAGCTGGGTTTTTTTTTTTTTTTTTTTTTTTTCCTGAGATGGAGTCTCATTCCATCGCCCAGGCAGGAGAGCTGTGGCGTGATCTTGGCTTACTGCAACCTCTGCCACCTGGGCTCAAGTGATCCTCATGCCTCAACCACCCAAGTAGCTGGGATTACAGGCATGCCCTACCATGCCTGGCTAATTTTTATGTTTTTTTAGTAGAGATGGGGTTTTGCCATATTGGCAGGTCTGGTCTTGAACTCCTGGCCTCAAGTGATCCACCTGCATCGGCCTCCTAAAATGTTGGGATTACAGGCATGAGACACCGTGCCTGGCCTAGAGCAGAGTTTTATACAGTGTTGCAGTGTCTTCCCATGGCCAGCTACTGAGCAAGCTGGGAATGAAATGGGTGCCTCTGCCAGGCTTGCTTTCCCTCCCTTTCCAAAGCTGGCAGAATATTAGTCATTCTACAGGGGTGATCCTGGAAGCTCTAAAGCAGGGTTTTCAACCTCAGTGCTATTGACATTTTGAGGTGGATAATTCTTTATTGTGGGGACTGCCCTGTGTGTTATAGGATGTTTAGCAGTATCCCTGGCTTTTACCCACCTGATACCAGTAGCACCCCTCCCACACACAGTTCTGACAACCAGAAATGTCTCCAGATTTTACCAAATACCTCAAGGGGGACAAAATTTCCCCCAGTGAGAACTGTTGGTCTAGAGGAAGAAACAGGGCCAGGCCTCTCATCCTAGGAAGCTCTTCATCTGATTAGGAAAACACAGTTGGGCTCTTTGTTGAGGAGAAAGAAGAGAGGCATGTTGACCCAAACTAGCTGGTCCTGGCCCACCTCAGCCAGCTCCTAGTCTGTACTGCAGGAGGTCTTTGATCCTCAGAGAGCCTGCAACCCTGATGAGGAGTCATTCCTACCATTGGAAATTCTCTTCTCTGATTTTGGTGAGGGTTTTGGGGAACTTGTTCCCTACTCTCAGAAAGTTTGAAGAAGAAATATTGAAGAAAAAGAAACGGCTTCTGCCTTAGAGAATGCTGAATTCCAGGGCCTGAGAGATGAGAGTGTCAGGGCAGGGTAAGCACTGGAGATGATGGCAGGACCCTGGGACAGTGAATCATAGAAGCAACACTCCTATGCTGAGCCACCCCTCTAACAACTGACCATTGATGGATCCCAGGAACCAACAATAAAGACTTAATTTCTCTTCCTAAACAGTGTTTGACAGGGGCCCTTAGGCCATTTGGAGCCTTGGTCAAATGAGCAGTACACTGAAAGCAGACCCTGGGTCTAGCTCTGGTCAGGGCTGTGAGATGGGACAGATTTGCAAGGGCCTTGGTGGTCATTAGGGAGGGCTTCCTGGAGGAGACAGGTTAAGCAAGGGAAAGCTATTGATAGTTACATTTGTTTTACCTTCTTCTGCAGTGTGTTTCCTGGCTGTTAGTGACCTGCCGTCCACCCCTCCCTCAACATTGAGCTCTGTTGTAAATGCATCGCACCAGAGGCCACTGTGATGCCGCTGTCTCCTCCTTCCCATCATGCCCAGCCATGTGACACTGGCTCCCTGTAGACAGGCACCCCAACCTTTTCAAGTATTCTGCCAAAAGCATTGTTTTCCAGGGCCCTTGACCAACATCGGCTTCCCCAGTCTAGGACTCCCCTGCTCCTTACCCTTCCCTATACTGGGGTAGATCCTGCCTGTTCTCCCTGCATTGCTTAGGGTGAAGCCTCCAGATTTGCCATACTGAGCCCCTATTCCTAGTATTAGGCGATGCACCTGAGTCCAAATGTCTTCCCAGGCTCAGGGACCTCCATTCCTTGAAATTGTCTTGGCATGGTCCAGCCCTACCTCATGGGATGGACGGTGCCTCAGGTGGTCCTTATTTTTCCCTCTGAAATAAAATATTAGTCAGGTACCATCTTATCCCAGTCTTACTCTTCCAGGTTTGGAAGACCAAGAGAGGCCAAGATCCCATCCTTAGATACAGGGAGAGGTGGTAGTGGATAGCATGACAAGAAACCAGCCTGAAAATCAGGTCCAGCCAGTCCAAGCACATGGCCTCCCATCTGGGAGAGCCCACTGTCCCACTCCCACATGTCTGGGCACCTGCCCTGGGCTGAGGCCAGGCTGCTCCAGGGTCCCCTTGAGCCCTCACCTGCCGCAGAGCAACCAATACAGCCCATGCACAAAGCCACAGGCTAAAACTTATGGAATTGTTTTTAATCAAATTCAACCATTTTCATAACTGGTTCCTGGAGGTGTACAGTGCCCTCTTGCCTGTTCAAACCTACAGCTTCTCTTTGCTATTTGTGGATTTCACATCACTCCACATAGAAACGTTACAACCTGGCATCCCAGTCTTTGCCTTCTTCCAGCTGCCTCGACACAGCACTGAGGCCTGTCCCTATTGCCCAGGCACGCCATTTCCAAGGGCAGGAAGGGGCAGTGTCCTGAAGCCCATCTTTTCTGTGACTGTCTTAGGTGATGTGTAGCCCCCTCCACCTTTCCACTCAACAACTTCCCACCCCTGTCCTGCTGCGCGGTCCAGAGTCTGGGACCTACTTTGTTTTTTGTTATTTATGACCTTGTTTAAAGAAAATAAATATCTCCCAACCTTTATTGGCCTGGTCTTTCTCTGTGGAGTTGTCCTTATTTCTGCTGACATAAGGACAGGGGACAGCTCATTGGACTTAGTTGTCCTGGAACTCCAGAAACCCCTTTCCCTATAGCCTTTCGGTATATTATGCTCTGCCTGTTCCCCTGATCCAGAATGCCCAGTGGGATGGTCAGAGCCACCCTCCACTGCACCCACGACAGGATTCCAGTTCCATCTCTCCTAATTACTGGCTGTGTCAACTGGTCCAGAGCAGGGTGATCTGTGTACTGTCCATAAGATCTCAGTCACCATAGCTTCACTTACGTGAAACAATCCACAATGCAAATCATCTCCTGAGCTCTGAACAGTTAGGCCCAGCTACCTTCTCTTGTCTCTCCCAGATGACCAAAAACCAGTTCATACTGATTTGTTTCTAAAGCTGAACCCGCCTTCCCCATGAAACTTGCTCTTCCTCCAGTGTTTCCTGGCTCAGTAAGTGATAGGTATCACCATCCCTCCAGTTGTCCAAACAAGATAGGCACAGTGAACTACTTCTCTTACACCCACATCAGTTCTACCACCAAATCCTGTTCATTCTCTTCCATGTCCCCTCTTTTCCATCGCACAGCCACTGCCCTAGCTTAGGCCTCATCATCTCTCACTGTGATCATTTCAGAACCTTCGCTGCCCTCCTCCTTCCCTAGGTGGTCCTCCACACACTGTTGGAGACTTCTTCATAGCAGGCTTTGGGGCCAGGCTGTCTAAATTAGAACCCAAGGCCCACCCCTTATGCTATATAGTGTGGCAACAAACTAACTTTCTGTGCTGTACTTTACTCATCTGAAAAATGGAGATAAACAGTACCTACCCCACAGAGTCTTGAGGAATATACAAGTTAAACTAGGTTAACTGGCTTTCTCAGTAACTGGCACATGGTAAACACTTAATAAGTAGTCCTGTTAGGACACTATTACATTACTATATTATAGTTAAGACCTTTCCTCAGGGCAGTCTGTGGGCCAGTAGCAACAGTATCTCCTGGAAGTTTGTGAGAATTGTGTCCTCATCCCAAGACCTATTGAATCAGAACTGATCTGCATTTTAACAAGTGCATCAATGTCTGAAAATGTCTGGTTTAGTTGATGACTAAATATTTCAGGGTAATGAATGAGCTCCCTAGTAGAGGAGAGAGAAGTTCCTTATGTGTGGTTGATTTCTCTCATGGGAACCCTTTGCCGGTGCCTTTGCTGGACTGTGTGCCCTTTTGTCCACAGGAGGGCAGCATGATCACTTGTGGTGTTTTCAGGGGCACTCAGGTTCGCCAGGTGAAAGTCATAATGGTTACCAAATTTTGAGTATCATCTAATTCACTTGACACACATCTCATTTAATCCTCACAGCAACGCTATGAGGTAGGTTTTGTTATGTTCCAGGTCCAAATTCCTACCGCTTGGAAGTGAGTGACAGTGTCAGAATTCAAAGCTGGCTTGTTTCCAAATCATGCTGCTCCTGGATGCTACAAGGGACCCTGGGCAGAAGTCATTTTGGCCCAGATACCTGACTTAAAAGAGCAGAGGAGGATGACCATGGAGACGAAGCCTCTACACTTGATGGAGGAGGCTGAGAATGAATGAAATGCTCGTGAGCTTTGTGGTTGGTTGTGTTTTAGGCACTTTCATCTCCATCCTTTGTATCTTTGTGAAGTATAGGCATTATCCCCGATTTAAAGGCAAGGAAGTGAAAGCTGAGAGATTTGAAATGGCTTGCCCCCAGCCACGGCCAGGGTTGCCCCACCTTGTCTTCTGATTCCAAGTCTACTGAGCATTCCATTACACCCCAGTAGAGAAGAGACCATTCATGTGTTCACTTAGCATGGCTTTAATGAGCACCTACTGTGTGTTGGTCATAACAGTGTCCTTGCAGAGCCTAAAGATCAGCATGTATGAACTCAGGAAGGGTATAAAGAAGGAGACCCCAGGATCTTTGAATGAAGGATTGCCACAAAGCAAGGAGCATGTTTTGGGTCAAACCAACATTCTGTCACATAGACAGTAGTGAATGTCCAAGGGAAACTCCTTCCCCAAAAAGGAAGGTAGGCAAATTTTGGAGGCAGACAGATCTGATGGGAGACAGGGAGAATCTTCAGACTGGGAGGACTCAAGAAAAAGGCATGAGGGGAATGGGGCATGACTTTGTAGCCCCATGCTCTTACCATATTATTAGGATCATTTATTTGCTTATTAAGCAAACCCAAGCACCCAGTATGTGCTAGGCATCCAATGTACTTTGTAGACAGAGGTAAATAATGAGGTCCTTAAAATGAACTCATTATCTAGAGAGACAGTGATAGAAATAGTGACCACGTGGTAAGAAGGTTGGGGGTGGGGAGCAACAAACCTATTTGGAAACAGGCCAGGGATGGTTTCACAAGAGGTAGCAATTTTTATTTATTTTATTTATCTTTTTTTTTGAGACAGAGCCTCCCTCTGTCACCCAGGCTGGAGTGCAGTGGCATGATCTTGGCTCACTACAACCTCTGCCTCCCAGGTTCAAGCAATTCTCCTGCCTCAGCCTCCTGAGTAATTGGGGTTACAGGTGCCTGCCACCACACCCAGCTAATTTTTGTATTTTTAGTAGAGACGGGGTTTTGCCATGTTCATCAGGCTGGTCTCAAACTCCTGGCCTCAAGTGATCTGCCTGCCTCGGCCTCCCAAAGTGCTGGGATTACAGGTGTGAGCCACTGTGCCCAGCCAAGAGGTAGCATTTGAGTTGAGCCTTGAAGTATCATAAAGTGGAAGTGGAGGAGGAAGGACAAGACTTTTCAGGTAGACAAGCACTAACACCACACACAAGCGCTGGAAACTAGAAAGTCAGCCTAGGAAGATGACTGGCTGGAATATGGGCCGAGACAGGAGAAGAACCAGGAGAGGAGGTGGGAGTCAAGGCACAAAGGCCTTAATTGGCAAGAATTAGGAGTTTCCAGAAGTTAATACGCAGGATGTGACAAGGTCAGGTCTTTTTTATAAAGGAAAGTCACTCTGGTAGCCTGTGTAGATGGATTGGTAGGTGTCAGACACGAGGCCAAGAGGTCAGTAAAGGGACAGTTGTAGTCAGGCAGGTAAAAGACACAGGTATACTTAAATAGGACAGTGGCCACCGGTCTGAGAGAACAAGATAATCTCAATGTTTTCGGAGGTTTAATGAACAAGAAAGAAACTAGTTGGATTTCAAGAGTGAGGGGCCAAGAACCTTTAAGTTGGATTCGGGGGCCTGTCATGAGAAGCGGGGGTTGGAAGTGAAAGGTCAAGATTTTACCAAGAGAAAAGCAAGAAGAGTGCCTACACTAGCAGCAGAGAAAGCAAAAGGCAGTCACACTCCCCTGCAGTCACTGTTTTGTTTGCAATCTTGGAGCCAACTCTGCCGCTCCAGCTGGCCACCCCATCAGCAGCCAGAATCAACACATTCTCAGTCTGGGGCCAGGGCTCAGAAAGTTATGTCAACTCAAGAGGCTCCCTTATTCCTCAAGCTGGCTTCCTCTCCCAGCAGCTTGCTAGAAAACTCCAGCCCATAGCCAGGCAAAACCTTGGAACCTGAGACTAGTAGAAAGGCTGGCCTATTGCAGGTGCAGGGAATAGGTGACTGGGGAGTGAACTGAGTGTCGAGGGAGAACATTTCTTCCTGATTAATGACAGTGATGTCATTCCATAATGATTTATGGAGTGACTAATCAAACAAGCATAGAATAACTGACACGATACAGTCTGTACCGTTTATAAAGCACATTTACTACCTTTAATACCTCATAACTCCTCTGGAGTGGGGAGGGCAGACAAATCAGCACTTCCTACAGATGAGGAATTCGAGGCTCTGTCAAGGAAAGTGGTTTGTCCAGGGTCATACAGTAACACAATCTGGACTAGAGCTCAGGTGACCTGACTTCCAGATCAGTGCCTTTTTAATCCCACACCAAAGCAGACGGAGAGGAGGGGAGCGGCAGGGGCGTGGAGGATGAGGCCTGATGATGAGAGGAATGCTTCAAGCTCAGTTCAGCCTCCCACCAGCTGGGTGACCTCTGGCACATCACTTCCTTCAAAACTTCAGGTTCTGTGTCCCCAGATGGGGTGATAATCCCTAATTTGATAGGTGTTATGAGAGTTAAACGAGACCTCAGTATCCAAGTAAAATCTGCTGCCTGCAGTAGGCAAGGTGAAAAATAGTAAATGCCATGGTGCTAAAAGACAAGGGGATTAATTCATCCTGACTGGGAATCCCAAAAAGGAGAGGAGACCAAGGCAAAGCCATCCCACCCCAGGTGTGCTGGTCTGCTTTCCTACTCCTGCTCTGTGGGGCCGCTCAGGCAGAATTAATGGAAGCTGGTGTGCCCCTGGGGCTGACCTAGGAATGTTCTTCTCAAAAAACTTTCGGCCTGTAATCCCAGCACTTTGAGAGGCCAAGATTGACGGATCACGAGATCAGGAGTTTGAGACCAGCCTGGCCAACATGGCGAAACCCCAACTCTACTAAAAATACAAAAATTAGTCAGGCTGTGGTGGCAGTGCCTGTAATCCCAGCTGCCTGGGAGGCTGAGGCAAGAGAATCTCTTGAACCAGGGAGGCAGAGGCTGCAGTGAGCCGAGATCATGCCATTGAACTCCAGCCTGGGCAACAAGAGCAAGAGTCTGTCTCAAAAAAAAAAAAAAAAAACTTAAAAAAATTATTTTATTTATTATATTTAAGTTCTGGGGTACATGTGCAGATCGTGAAGGTTTGTTACACAGGTATACACGTGCCATGGTGATGGTTTGCTGCATCCATTGCCCTGCCATCTACATTAGGTATTTCTTCAAATGCTATCCCTCCCCAATCCTCCCCAGCCCCTCACCCCCAACAGGGCCTGGTGTGTGATGTTCCCCCCTCCCTGTGTCCATGTGTTCTCATTGTTCAACACCCACTTATGAGTGAGAACATGCAGTGTTTGATTTTCTGTTCTTGTGTCAGTTTGCTGAGAATGATGGTTTCCAGTT